TTTTATAATGTCACCTCCAATGGCCATAAAAGGTTCCTGAAAAGGCCTTGAAAAGGCCCTCGGACCAGCAGTTGATAATCACAGTTGTAGCTTGTTTTGTGGCTCTGAACACATTTTATCAGTGAGACAAGGAGCAGAAATGGCTCTGTTGATCCTAAATGTTGCAGACCCCATCTTTTTGCAAACCTACCAGGACTCGGCTTGTTTTTTTTAGTTCTGATCCAGAACCTCTTTGGGAGGAAGAGTCTTTAAAGTTTTATGATAGTTTTAGTATAATTGTTCTTTCCTGGTTGCTTGTCTGCGATCTCATCTTCACTTGTGTTTTTTTATCACCTGCTGCTCAAATGAAAAAGCAGATGACAATTATTTTATCTGTTACTATCTCATGAACTACWAGATGCAGAAAAAGGTATTGGATGGATGTAAATCTGCCAGTGATAGAAGATGGATTTATTTTCCATCAGAARTCTGTTCTTGCTGACGTGGTTGTGTGACTAGAACCTGTTCTGTTCACAAGCTGCTGGCAGAACRTTTGTCTTGCATGTGCCAAGTGGTGTGTGACTGGTCAGAACTTTGTGGGCGTGTATGCTTTCCATAAAATGACCATGAGATATTATTTTGTTATCGATCCAGTACCAAGTAAGTACAGGTCATCCCCGATTCCGATATCAATGCWAATACTTGTCATGTTCATTGAATAAATTTATGATTTTTGCCTTTAGTCAATTRTGATAAAATACAGGACAAAGATCTAATGAAAATAAGATGTTCTGAACTAACTCCAACATTAGAAAACAGTGAGACAGTATAAAAATAATTCTTAAAATTACTATCTTATACTACACAGTTGTTTAAGAAAAAAGTCACTTAGTGCAACGTAACAAAAAAGCAACAATGTTGCAAAAATATTAATTTAACTATGTCAACATAATCAAAAATACCTTCTGTTGCACGTGGGCTTGATGTAGACYAATGTYGAAACAGTTTGGAGACTCTGCACYACTRACTTTATCTTT